CTCTCTCTCTCTCTCTCTCTCTCGCTCACGCACACACAAAGTAGGCGGCTTTAAATGAAAATATTGCTTGGGGGCCGTGCAGAACTCCAGAATCAATAAGAAATGTGTTGGAGCGTGCAACAATGACAGAGCAACAAAGGATTGACCTCACTCCGTATCTCGTCTTCTCACCCGACCATCAGTGACCACAGGTACTAATGTTAGTGTGAATCGTTCTTTGTCTTTGTCCAGGGTAAACCACAAGCCTTGGATTGGCCGACTGCTGGGATCGACATGAGCTCCGTGACCCTGGAAGCTGTAAAGGGTTAGAAGGTAAAAAAAACAAATTAAATTCATAATTGTAAAATACTCATAGTTAAAGGCATGCTGTAGTTGTGGTTTTTTTCCCTGAAGTTTCCTATCTAAGTATATATTTTTTTGCTTGTTGTGCAATGATGTGCAACAGCCGAAATTCCCCTGTATCTGCAAAACTATACATATAACTATACATATATACACATATATATACACAATATATATAAATATATATATTTTTTTAAATTGCAATCTACTTATCATCTGCAAACTGTTTGTTACATGATGTATAAGCATATATATATATATGCATATATATGTACATATATATATTTATATATTTATATATATAGTTTTCAAATTGCAATCTACTTATCATGTGCAAACTGTTTGACTCGCAGGCCACAATGGGTCCTAAAATTTGACGGCGGGCCGGGTCAGGAGCAGATCGGTGGAGCGTTGGTATGAACTAGAACAAATGAAAATGTAAAAGTCATAAAGGCTAAAATGCTAAAATGCTTTAAACCTTTTCTACGCCATCTATTGGAGAAATACAGGCATTTGTTTTGAACTGTCCCTTTACTGTCAGAACCCCGGCAGCTGTTGGATTATGCCGAAAAGTTTGTAACCTTGTCATCACTCTGCTCTCATATCTGATTCAACCCTCTCAGCAGCCATCTTATTCTACTCACCTGCTGTTCCTGCTCCCTTCTCCCCACCTGTAAACCGTCCACTCGACTTCAATTATCAGTCCACAGTCACTTCGCCTCTGTTTGATTGTTGTCTTATTTGCAACACTCTCCAGCGTTTGTTTTTTTTTTTATTATTCCTCGTATTCTAACCTGGTTTTTCTGTTTTTGACCTTAGAATCCCTGCTGCTGCTGATTTCTTCCCGAGACAGACTGACTTCTGGCGCTGCTCTAAACTTTAGGTAAGCTAAAGTTTCTTTTCTGTTTCTATGCACTGAAGCTACTCATGCCGTCCCCTTAATAATGCGCAACCTTTTTTTAAACAACGTTTTTTTACTATGAGCCCAGAGTTCGGGATAAACTCTGGGGAAAATCTTCCATGACTCAGGAGTTAGGCTCGGTTCAGCCACTCTGTCCCTTTCCAATTTATTTTCGCCTTGGCCACTAGCATTTCTCAAATTAAACAGCAACAAATGTTTTCCATGTTAATTACCACTTTAAAAAGTTGGATATAGTTCAATATAGGATAACAAAAAAAAACAAACAAAAAAAAAAACAAGTGTCCAAGGCCAGGATGCCTGAAGGCCAAAAAGCTCATTTCACTTTAATAAACACCTTGTTCCAGCTTCATACTTTTTATGAACATTTATTCGCCGGGAAAATAGACAACAAGACTTGTCTTTTGCGATTCATTATAGAATAAGAGCCTGCAGGGAGAAGACATGAATACACGCAAATAATTCATTTAAACCAAAAGGAGGAGGAGAGGTTTGGGGGCTCAGTGCCAGCAGGAAATGCAACAAGCAGAAAGACCTGATGGCAGTTATTATAAAGCAAGACCGAGAAACCAGACCATGAAAGATATTATAAGAAAACGCGAGCGTTTCTCATCCGCAGTAATCAATGTTAAACCACTCTGTGCATGCCTTTTTCCTAAATTAAACTTACTTACCCGTGTATCATTTTTCCTCTGGTCCATGTGCTTTCATCCGGTGCCAAGGTTGCGGAGCGTATTTGTGATAAGGAATGTGAAAGGGGCACAATGATGCCCCCCGGTTTTAGCAATCTGTATTTATTATGTACAAAAAGATCATAAACGTGGCCAGTGTGCAATTACAATCGCTGCAGCCGCCCGTCTCTTCGCGTGACTTCTGTTCGTAGGGTCGGAGGGGGAAAAAAAAAAAAAAAAATGTGTTAATGTCACGTATTTCCAAGTTTTTCCATTAATTAATGGGTTCCATTTTATGGCTTCACTTCCTTGGTAGCACCACCAGGTTATAGCACCATATGTTCGACACTGCGATCTCGTGACGACTTTATAGTCCAGCTGTTCCATATAACGGCTTACATTCATATCCTGGGGTGAACGCATCGCAGACGGGAGACACTTTACGCGCCCCGAAAAGCATCACGGTTTTATCTGCTATATTTACGTACTTATACACACTTGTGAGTAAAAACGAGGCGGTTAATAGTAACACTGTTGAATTATGTACGAGTACACCATCATTTTATGAGTAACATGAAAGCAATGTTATTTATAGGTAATTATTGTTATGATCGTACTGGTCCGACCTGCTTGACGTCCAATCAGGGTGTATTGTTATGATCGTACTGGTCCGACCTACTTGACGTCCAATCAGAGTGTATGTTGGCCCCCGAACCAAAATGAGTTTCCAGTTTTGTATTAAAGATATTAGCACTTGTACAAAGTACACGCCCCAAAATGAGTTTCCAGTTTTGTAGATTCTTTTTTTTACTAGCTAACTACTCGATCTACTACTAGACATCTGTCTTTTGACATTGTCCTCGTAGTACCAACGACTTGCTGTTGTCTTGCACCACCCCTAGTGCTTTTCTGCCACTCCTGGCTTCTTAAAACAAACCTGCATGTGCTATATATATTTTTTTTGCACTAAGGTACGCTACACATTTAGAGATGCTACTCCCGGGTACATTTTAGCCAAACTAATTACGTTACGTCTTGTCTTCAAACCATAGATCAAACAGGGGAACACGAATACACAGACCACCGAGGTCCGAGATCAGGGGATTTAGCTTTGACCCAAATACTCAACCCTCAAAATCAATCCTACTACTACTACTCCCCAATACTTCAGAGTATGCTGAATAATAGATGGAAGACTCTAACAGAATATTTTAATCAGGTGTTCCTGCGTTCGTTACAGCGTCTCCGCGCCGACGTTAGAATAATATTAAATCAACTCCACTTTCCTCGTGCTTATTTTCAGCAGCAGGAGTCGTTGAACCCCTGAGCGAAAAACAACATGGTAGCTTTGAAGTTAATGGAGCAGGTGTGCACTAGACTGTACGCTGACAAAACTTTTTTTTTTTTTCCCCACTTTTGAACTTGACTAACCACAGTCTGATAAGTTCTGTCGTTGTTTGACAGGAACACTTTTCTGAAGCCTATTTGTACAATGACAAAGTGTGTTAGTTCTGCATCTTTTCTCAGCTGACAGTCTCTTCTTCTTAATCGCTCCAGTAGTTTTACGGGTTTTTGTTTTGTTTTTTTTGTTTCATTTTTACATCCCCGTCTGTCTTTACTCTGAAAAAATTAAAATAAATAAATATATTATAAATTATA